CACAGAAGGTGCTGGGGAATTCTGGGAGTTGAAGTCCACACGTTTTAAAGTTGCCAGGGTTGAGAAACACGGCTGTATATGAAATGCAGAACAGAGACAACTACAGAACTGATGCAGAAGGTTTTCTAATGCCGAGTAACTCATCCAAGCCGATGTACAGTATATGTGCAACAGATGGAAGCTGCCGCCTCCCTTTCTGCCCCTCCCTCCCGATTTTTCCCTTCTGTGCAACCGCTCAGCTGCAGAGCTATGAAGGCGGACTAAGCGTATGGTGAACATTTTTGCCATAAAATGTATTTCTAGAGCCACATAATGCAGCCTGATGTTAGCACGTTCATATCAGCCCTGGCTGTTGAATGGTTTCAATTATGCGAAGTTATCGGCATTTACAATTATTGCTGTATATGCAGTTTCAGACCCCCGGGCTGCATTTTGGGGGGGGGCGGCTTTAAATGAACCAACAGTAAATGATTGAAAAGGATATACTCCCGGTAAATATTTATAGAGCAAATACCCTGATCATGTAGGACACCTAGTCTCAAAAGAGCGGATTTCAGAGCAGTATTGGCTCAGCCGCCCTCCCACCTGAACAGAAGTGGCCAGATCTCCCCTATTTAGGTGCTGCCCCAGAAACACCGGTTTGCACCAAATTCTCAAAGCCACGAAGAGAGCAGGAATTCGCTTCCCATTCCTTCAAAATCTCAGCATCCCCTTCCTGGGGCGGAACTGGCCACCCCATGCCCTGCCTTTGAAACTTCTGTGTTTTCCCCAACTTCAAGGGGTGTGGCTCATAATGGCGCAGCTCTGATGGGGAGCCCCACAGAAAGCAGAGAGCAAAAAGCCATCCGCGCACTGGAAGCGTCTAGATACAGCCGGAGGCACGCCGATCCCGCTCCCCACCGCAGAAACCAAGCCGCGACCCCGGAAAGGCGGCGGCAGCGGAGCGTCGCTTGTTTCCACTGCAGTTCACCAGCGCCCCCTACCGCCAGCCGCTGGGAACGCCCAGCCGGCACGAAGCTCACACCCCGCCTTTGCCATCTTGCTCTCCCAGCTCTCTTCTATGCACGCGCTCCCGGCGAAAAGATGCACGCCCGGGCGGGCACACTCGCCCACCCACCCAGTGCCTTCCTTGCACACACATCGCCCCACTTCCTGCTGCTCCCATCCAATTCTCCCCCTCCCGCGAGCACACCCTGGGAAGCGCAGCAGGTCGGCTTGCAGAAAGGAGCCCCGGAGGCTGCTGGCGCGCTCAGAGGTTGCTGTCTTCAGCTGGCAATCAAGGGGCATCTTTCCCGCCCCGGCGTGTCTGCAAAGGGCTCTGGGTTTCTCAGCTCCTGCCACATCTGTACCGGCCCGCGCTGGATCTCCACGCCCACCCCTCTCACCTGCAGCCCTCGGCGCCTCAAGATGCTGGATTCGTCCATGCTGCCTCCTCTTCCTGCTCCTCCTGCTCCTCCATGCCTCTCTGAGCTCGCCCGCAGGGTGGAAAGCGGTCCCAGCACTTGGATGGGAGGCCGAGCCGGGCGGGAGGCGGAAATCCCCTGGCCTGCATTGGCTGGTGGGGAATCAGCTGATCTTTCCCACGTCGAGAAAATGAGACTTGGAGATCTCAGCAACTCAGTCGATCCCTGCAATAACTAAGGGGGAGCGGCAGAGACGCGCGCAAGGCAGCCGTAGGGACCGAGAACTGGGATTTCCAAGGATCACAAGAGAGGCTGCCGAGAACATTTCAGATTGGGGTGATTCCTTTATGCCTCGCGCATACATTCTTCTGCTGGGGGGGTTTCTCCGAATAAGAGCGAGTGAAGTCGGGTCCCGTGGCTTTGCAATCTCAGCAGCCTCTCGGCTGAAAAGTCCCTCCTGGCTCCTGCCTCTTTTGCAACACGGAGGCGAGAATAATGTTTGCCTACCTGGCAGAGTTGGTGTAAAGATTAAGGGGTCGACGAAGCATCCTTGGCATTTAAAGGACACAGGATAAAGCTGCCACCGCCGCCTCCTCTTCTAACTGGTGTAAGATTTACTGGGGTGAATGGAGGTCACCCAAAGTGTGCAGCAGAAATGTTTCTGTATGGTGGGCTAAAAAGGGCCAACCTAAGGCATTTTGTGGTCCGAGTCAAAGTATGAGACAGTGCCCTCCCTGTTCCATTTCACAAAAGTTAATTGGATTTCAGTTGACTGTTTCTTCAATACCTCTAGTGGAAAACATTCTCTACCACATCCAAGCAAACAGCTGGATTTACTGGGTGCAGCAGAACATCTCTAGAATAGCGAGTAACCATCTTTTTTGCAACCTGAAAGATTGCCTTACTCTTAAAGTAGAGCCAATCCTGTGTACTGAACATTCACTGTGCATAATACAGATGCCAACCCTTAGTATTAAAGTCTTCCTGTTTTACACTGTAACCTTTTCTTCCTTCTATTCCCTTACTTGTACTGTAGATGGTGAATTGGAGACAATGCAGTTTTGTATTAAGAGAGACAGAGAGTTTGGCCTAGTGGTTAAAGATGCTGGATTAGGAGCAGGTAAACCCATGTTTTAGTCCTGCTTTAGACACAAAAGCCAGTTGGGTGATTTGGAACTACTTGTTTTTTCTGAAGCCCTAAGAAGAAAGCAATGGTAAACCACTTTTAAAAATGCTGCCAAGCATTTGGCTTCAAAGGCAGGAGTTAAGACTGCCTCAAAGGCGCGCGCGCACACACACACACAAAATACATACACAGAGGGAGAATATGGGACTGTCAGCCTTCCCAGGTAGACCAGACAGGAAACGTGACCACATGAGCTAATTCTACTTTATTGTCAGGCTAAATTAACAGAATCTTGCAAGTCTGAAAGTACAATTCTTCCCCGTCTCCTTTACCTTTGAGAAATTATGCAGGGTCTCTTCTGAGCCTCTTGCTCTGCCCACTATACAGCTGTGGGCTATGCTCCCTTTTATCAGACTGTTCCCACAGCATCTGTTCGCCCGGTCTCCCAAGGTGATTCCCACCTACCATTACAGGAACTGAATAGAATTTAAATATGATAAATAAGGAGAGTGAAAGGTTGAGTTTGCACTTGGAAGAAGATTCAGAAGACGGAACCAAAAATAGTTTTCATTGTGTGACTACACAACAATATGTTAGAATCTGAATCCAGTTTAAGAAGCTTTGGGGCTTCCTCAGCCTGGTGCCCTCCAGATGGTTTGAGATTACAATCCCTAGTATTTTAAACCAGCATAACCAATGGGAATTGCAGCCTGAGTACATATGAAGGGCAGTAGACAGAGGAAAGTTGGCTTAGACTCTTTCTAACTGACTTAGCATAAGTCTTTAGAACTGACTTAGCATAAAGCAGTTTCAGTTTCCAGTTCAAAAGACATCATTTGCGGAAATCTCTGCCTCCTGAGATCTGTCAGACTAGACCTAAGTTGCACACTTGGCCTTTGTGTAGTATGCTGAAAATTGCAGTCCCCCCAAATTGTCAGGGTCAGGTCAAAACCCAAGTTTGTTTAAGTCAGTGTTTCTCAACCTTGGCAACTTTAAGATATGTGGACTTCAACTCCCCAAAATTCCCAACCCGCCCCTGTGGGTTGGGGAATCTTGGGGGTGGAGTCCCCATATCT